CCAATATAGTGGTAACTATCTATAATATTTTGGATTCAATTGCCACTCAGATTTTAATAAATTTTTGATGACCAAATTATTTAGTGATAGGGCTTTAATTTTCATATAAAATATTTAATAAAGTGATTTACAAAAGATCTATAAATAAACAATACAAGATTCTAAATGGAATATTAATAATAATCTTAACTTAACAAACATTAAATTTTGCAATTATTCACTTGAAATATTAAAAAAAATAATGAAAGTAAAGAAATAAATTCTTTAATAAATTAAAAGCCTATAAAGAAAATCAATTATAATAATTAAACTTGAATATATAATACAAAAAAGGAATGAGAATAAATCTATTTAAATCATCTTATGAATATCAAGTATGAAATATCATAAGGTAATTAAATGAAAGATTTCTAAAAAAAAAATAAAGAAAGATTTTCTGGCTTAAAAAAATAGATTAAGAAAATAAAATTTAATTAAGACTTAAATTGAATAATATTAGATCTGTTAATATTATTAATAAATAATAAATTAGAAACATAATTAGTATTCTACTCCTTTTATAAATAAATACTTATTACTAAAAATATATGTTAAAGAATAAAAGTAAATATGAAAAAATTCAGTTTTAAATTTATTTTATGTTAATTAATGGTATTGACAAATTCAAACATTGTGTTGTTTGTTTTTGGCATTCAATTCTTTTTCTAAATTCAACAATTTTTCCTAAATTTCTTTTATTCTCAACAAGAACCATCTTTCTTCTAATAAGTACATAACCAAACAAAATCAGAAAAACTAGGAATAAAATTATTATTGAATATAAAAGGACTTGATAATAGCTGAAGGATTTAGGACATTAAGTTTCAATTGAATCTAAATCTAGACTTATTAATTTATCAAAAAATATACTCTCCTTCACATTAAGTTAATTTTATTTATTCTTATGATTTAAAATATGTTGTGCCAAGTTAACATTAATCAAAAATATTACCAATAGGCATACAATCCCCTATTTCTAAGAAATTAGAATAGCCAGAGGGACATATCCAATCTTCTCTTTAACAAGGACAAGGTTCAGCAATTTTCTTTTAATCATCTCTTGGGATAAAAACATTCTTAATTTAATTTTTTTTATAGTATTTCATCCTAGAGCCATCAAAACATTTAGAATTTGAAATATTATAATCTAATTTGAAATTGCCATCTTTTGAGAAGAAGTCGCTGAAACTAATTTTAAAATGATGCCTTCCCCTTTGTCGGTGTTACCATAAATAAGAAAATCTCTAGCTGTACCACCAGTTTCAGTCACTATATATTGTGCCATAAAGAAATCTTCATAGATGATTTTAGTTTTCCATGTTTTACCATAATAAATAGAGTAAATGATTTCGTTGGTTGGCTCGTAATCTTTGGCCATTACATTAACTCCTCTCCAAAATCTTCTATTTCAAAGACATGAGGCCTTTTCTCACTTCAATCCAATAATTAGCCTCCATAAGAACATATATGTATTTTGATCTTATTTATGAATTATACAATATTTCTAATTCCTAAAATTATACCAGGGGCTGAATTTATAAATTAAGTACTATTTACTGATGACTGGTAAGATTAAAATTTGTAAGTTTTTATTAAGGCATAACATTTGATGATATTCAAATGAACTAATATTTAATGAAATTAGCAAAGATTTAAAACTGAATTCAAGATAATGATATAGATCAATTAATTCATTTATAGATATTGGTACTTAAAGTGTTAAAGGTAAAGTCTCACTTCTAGAGATTCTAGCTGGTGTGCAATAAAATGGGATTCTATTCAATATCCACAAGATAAAAAAGAACAAATAAAGATTTAATCATTGGTATTACTGCTTTACACTAATAGCGAAAATAAGTGATTTCAATGCAACTGGCTGATTAAAAACAAATTATTAATTTAACAGATAGTAGAGAGAATGATTGTTTTAGAATCTTTGAGTTAATAATAATCAACTAGATGCTTTAGCTGGTATTAAGAATGTCAGGTTATTGTATAACATAGTATTTTTGTTAACCAAGATTTGATTAGATGCTTTAAAGCCAATCACATTCCTGCTATGCATGTCTGTAATAGGATTTGTACCATATTTCTAATTTAAATAACATACCCAACTCAATGATATGTAGAATTCAGTATTAGCTCAATCATATATATATCAAAATCTAGCATTAAGGATTGAAAAGAAGGATGTTGTTTCAATTCAAAGAAGTTTGGAATGTGGATTCACTTAGTAGAGGAATTATTACTAAAAATTAAGTGATAAAAAAAAGTGAAGACAAAAATGGTCGGAAAATTTTGTAAATTCATTATCTTTTACATGAAATATGAATATCACCAATTTAAAGATATGTAAGTCACAATAAAATATTAATATTTTTTATATTCCAAAGCAGTGTTGGTGGGTATTAAGATAATAAATCAGAGGACAATGATGCTCGAGGTTCAATTAAAATTGGAAAATAGATGGAATTAAAATATGGTCAAGAGTATTTGTGTTTTTATTATGTAATTAGATATTTTAGAGAATTATTGTCGTTAATAAATGAATGGTATAAAAGTAGGTAGATGGGACAGGACTAATTAACTTTTCAAGATTAATATATGTAATATAATTTTAAACTTTTATTATTTTTAAAATTTTCAATAAAAATAGTGGTGGAAGATCTTATGAAGACCAACCAGAAATGAAGACCTAAATGATCCAATTAAGAGTTGGAAGTGGATAGAATTAAGCGAAGGGTTTTAGAAGTATTAATTTTTTGGTAAAATTAAATTATTAGAGATAATAAAGTCAAGAAGAGTAAGATGGAGAAAGTCAGGAAATTTGTTGTAAAATTTGGAATGTTTTAAGAAATCTTTTTTAGGAAGGCACAAGAATAACTTTAAAAATGCAAAATATTATGTTTTAAAAAACACATATTTATTATACCTTTTCTCAATCAAAATTATTTCCATTATTTTTAATTATAAATTTTAATGGGAGCTAAATGCTCGAATTCAATGATTATTAAAGACTTCGATGTAGATTTAGAAGAAAGCCTTTATATTTAAACAAGAGATAAAAAAGAGACATAAATAGGAAATAATGACCTTAAAAAAAATAAAATCTTCGAAAATCAATGTATAATTTGGAATGATCTGAAATAAAGATGGATGAATACAAAAATTCTAATAGCATTTACTTAAAATTTTGAAATCATTTATCTTAAAGATGGATAAATTCTTAGAATGTAAAAAGATGATTAATCAATGATAGAGAAAAAGTAAAAGACATTTCTTAGAAACCTGATACATTAACTAATTTTGAATAAATCAAATTTCTTGAATGGTTCGGAAAATTTGAAATAAATCATTTTAAGGTGGGCAAGTGGACTGCCAATTGGAATGGAGAAAAACTGATGGAAGTTGGAGGCTATTACTCAAAAGATGGATTAAAGCAAGGTATATGGAAAGAATTAATCAAAAATTATTGGACGTAAGAATTATTTAACATTAAAAAGAGGAGCACAAGTCTATGAAATAGGAGTATATATAAATAACTAGAGAAGGGGATTTTGGAATTACTTATATGGTAATAATAAAATGTATTTAACTTAATAATATAATAGTCCAATCGGATAATATAACGATTAAGGATAAAAAGATGGGAAATGGATAGTTTTGAGCCCTTAATTTTGCAAGTATTTGAGTATTAAAATTAATAGCATAAGTTAAGTCACTTATCATGGTGAATATAAAAATGGTAGAAAAGTTGGAAAATGGGATACTTTTTTTCTTAGAAATGGAAAAAATCAATGGATGTAATATTNTTATTATTTTTAAAATTTTCAATAAAAATAGTGGTGGAAGATCTTATGAAGACCAACCAGAAATGAAGACCTAAATGATCCAATTAAGAGTTGGAAGTGGATAGAATTAAGCGAAGGGTTTTAGAAGTATTAATTTTTTGGTAAAATTAAATTATTAGAGATAATAAAGTCAAGAAGAGTAAGATGGAGAAAGTCAGGAAATTTGTTGTAAAATTTGGAATGTTTTAAGAAATCTTTTTTAGGAAGGCACAAGAATAACTTTAAAAATGCAAAATATTATGTTTTAAAAAACACATATTTATTATACCTTTTCTCAATCAAAATTATTTCCATTATTTTTAATTATAAATTTTAATGGGAGCTAAATGCTCGAATTCAATGATTATTAAAGACTTCGATGTAGATTTAGAAGAAAGCCTTTATATTTAAACAAGAGATAAAAAAGAGACATAAATAGGAAATAATGACCTTAAAAAAAATAAAATCTTCGAAAATCAATGTATAATTTGGAATGATCTGAAATAAAGATGGATGAATACAAAAATTCTAATAGCATTTACTTAAAATTTTGAAATCATTTATCTTAAAGATGGATAAATTCTTAGAATGTAAAAAGATGATTAATCAATGATAGAGAAAAAGTAAAAGACATTTCTTAGAAACCTGATACATTAACTAATTTTGAATAAATCAAATTTCTTGAATGGTTCGGAAAATTTGAAATAAATCATTTTAAGGTGGGCAAGTGGACTGCCAATTGGAATGGAGAAAAACTGATGGAAGTTGGAGGCTATTACTCAAAAGATGGATTAAAGCAAGGTATATGGAAAGAATTAATCAAAAATTATTGGACGTAAGAATTATTTAACATTAAAAAGAGGAGCACAAGTCTATGAAATAGGAGTATATATAAATAACTAGAGAAGGGGATTTTGGAATTACTTATATGGTAATAATAAAATGTATTTAACTTAATAATATAATAGTCCAATCGGATAATATAACGATTAAGGATAAAAAGATGGGAAATGGATAGTTTTGAGCCCTTAATTTTGCAAGTATTTGAGTATTAAAATTAATAGCATAAGTTAAGTCACTTATCATGGTGAATATAAAAATGGTAGAAAAGTTGGAAAATGGGATACTTTTTTTCTTAGAAATGGAAAAAATCAATGGATGTAATATTCGAAATTTAGTATTTTTATGTCTTCCTGAGGAACAGTGGTGGTGGAGTGTATCAAGAATTAAAAGTTGCTGATCAAAAGTAAGATTCAATTAAGAATGGTAAATGGATTGAAGAGTAGGATGGATATTACGAGTATTTAATTTCTAATTAAAATATGTAATCAGTAAGAGTCAAATGATTTTTGTTGGAGAATATAAAAATGGTAAAAAATTTGGATTTTGGGATACTATATATGTTGTATATAGTAGGGAGTAGTAAGAATTGAATAATTATTTTTTCATTATAAATAGTCCACATTTCAATGATAAATGGGGAGGTGGAAAATATTAAAATTCTATTAAGACTGGTAATTGGGTTGAATTGTGCAATTTTTTTTATTAGTATACTTAGTTATGAAATATTAAGGGATTGTTGGGTTACATATGAAGGAGAATATAAAAATGGTCTGAAAGTAGGGTAGTGGGATATTAAATTGGAAAGAAATAAGTTGTAAGATTGAAAAATAAAATTAGTGGTGGTGGACAATATGATTTTTAAAATGACAATGATAACATCGAAAGTTCATTTAAGACTGGATAATGGATTGAGGAGGCAGATGATTTCTTTACGTATTTTTTTATTTGATATTGTGTAGTTATTCTAACGTCATTCATCAAGGTTATTATAAAGATGGTAAAAAAGTTGGTAGATGGAATATCATTTCTAAAGGAGAAGTTGAACTAACGTAATATTTTTATTGTTATAAAAGTGGTGGTGGATCTTATTAAGAAAAATTAAGAGATCATGCAGTTGAAGATTCAGTAAAAATTGGTAAATGGGTTGAGTTTTGCGAGTAATTTTAAATGTATTTTTATTACATAAAATCGATAGGTATAACTAAATTTACACCACAGGTCAATACGATAATAATGGTTGCAAATTTGGCAATTGGGATATATTTTGTAACTTTACTTGTTTGTTTAGGGATAAAAAAAAGATGTATTAAAATTATATAATATTGTTATTTATAACAAAAATTCATAAAAAAGTGGTGGTGGATTGTATGTTTAGAATGATAACGTTGGTTACATTAAAACTGGGAAATGGATTGAACTGAGCAATGAATATTTTGAATTTAATTAAATAACATATCATGGAGAATATAATAATGGAAGAAAAGTGGGGAGATGGGATACTTTTTTGACTTAAAATGAAAAAGCAGAATTGATGTAATTTTTTTAAATTAAATAATTACTGTTTAAATTGTGAAAACAGTGGAGGTGGATAATACTATGAATAGCCTGGAGATGAAATTGTTTTAGGCTCAATTAAGATTGGAAAATGGATTGAAATAGATGAATATAGCCTCAGCAATTTAGTCATATTTGTTGGAAATTACAAAAATAATTAAAAAGTAGGCCTATGGAATGAGATGATGAAAAATAAAGATGGAATAAACTTAGAGTTTATTAAAATGTAATTCAAAAATTAAATTATATATTTAGGAAAGAGATATAGTATGAAAAAGAGTGAGAGAACAACGCTTTACATGAAAATTTTATTCAACATTAAATTAATTTCAGTTTCTCATAATACTATCATTTTTGCTTCTTATTATTATTTTAGTCTCTTCAATTTTATTATGAAAAATAGCTTGTTTAATAATTTATATTCAAATATATAATTTAATGTATGATCATACTGATGAAAATTATACTTGATCAATAAAATAAATTATTGAATGGGTAATTTTATGTTTAAATGTAATAAAATCTAGTAATCAATTACATTAAGAACAATTATAAAACATAAGCCACATGGTATATAATTATTAAAATATATTTTATTATTTTATTTGTAATCAGTTAGAAATATATTTTATAATCAAATAAAATTAAGTTAAAAATACATTTTATTAATCAATTAAACTTTAATTAAAATTATACTTTAATAATCTGTTTAAAATCAATTACAATTATTTTTTATTAATCATTTTAAAAATATAGATATACTTTATTAATCGATTGAAATCGGGTTATTTTTATGTTTTGTAATCAATTTTATATATAATTATATTATAATCAAAAATAAAGCACATTTTTTTAATTCATATATTAACCTTTTAATTTAATCAACAGTATTAAAATACTAATAAATAATTTAAGCTTAGCAATTAAACAAATCAAATCAATACCACTTTTATTCTATTTAAGTATGTTTTTTAGAATTAATCATTACAATCAAAAGAGAATGACAAGACTTAATTTTCATATTTCAATTAATAAAATATATTAAAGAACACCTCATTTTTATATCTTAATTAAATTCGATTCCATAGTTATTAATATAATTAGAATTATCGATATAATTTGTCATTGTTTATATTTGCCATTTGAAAAGAAATAAATTATAATAAAATTTATAAATGAATTCAAATAACAAGACTGATTAGAGCTGCTAATAAACAACTAATTGGGAGGAATAAACTTTTGAAAAAGAATTTTACTCTTTCAATAAATAAAGCTATAATAATGAGAAGAAAATAATTTAAATCAAGATCACCTCAGATTAAAAAATCATCTATTCATAAAATGGTTAAAACTTGAGATTGTACATTTAATTTAAAACTTAAATTTAGAGTAGAATGCCATAATATCTTTGAGTAACCAGAAATATTTAATAATTTGGATCAAATCCGCAAACTTTCATGGTAAGGTTAGTTAGATAAAAACAAAAAGAAAGATGGTAAATGAATAGCATTTTGGAATGAAAAACATCTAATTAATGTTGGTGGATACTATAAAGAAGGGTAAAAGTAGGGATTATGGAAAGATCTATTCCTAAACTATTCAAAGTAAGATATTAAAATTTAGTATTACTAATAGTCAAGCATAAATATTTGAAACTGGAGAATATTCTAATGGTCTTAGGATTGGAAAATGGAATTATATGCATGAACATAAGATGATGTAATTATTTTTAAAAATTGTTTAGTGGTGGTGGGTCTTACAATCAATATGGTTAGAAGTAAGGCAAATGGATTGAGCTAGGCGAAGGATTTTATGCTAATGGAAACGTTATTTAGTTTGGAGAATATAATATGAATGGTATGAAGGTAGGTAAATGGGATATTATGTATTGTGACAGCTATTGGGATAGAAAATTTAAATATATGTAAATATTATTTATTTATAAGAATATTTAATATATGTCTAGTGGTGGTGGATCATATGATTAAGAAGGAAAAAAGATTGGAAAGTGGATTGAATTGTTTGAAGGGTATAATAGTATTGCTTAAGTCACTTATAATGGTGAATATAATATGAATGGTATGAAGGTAGGTAGATGGGATGTTATGTATTGTGAATAGGATTAGGAGGAATATGAATAAATGTAAATATTAGTTATTTAAAAGAATATTAAATATATGTATAGTGGTGGTGGGTCATATGATTAAGAAGGAAAAAAGATTGGAAAGTGGGTAGAATTAGATAAAGAATTTTATTTTAATGGTGAAAATTCCAAATAAGTCATTTATTGTGGTGAATATAATAGGAATAATATGAAGGTAGGTAGATGGGATATTATGTATTGTGACAGATATCGGTCAAACGAATTTTAAGATGTGTAAATATTATTTATTTATAAGAATATTTAATATATGTATAGTGGTGGTGGATCATATGATTAAGAAGGAAAAAAGATTGGAAAGTGGGTAGAATTGGCTGAATGGTTTTGTTGTGCTAAATATTCATACCTTTAAGACGTTTATAAGAGCAAATATAATATGAAAGGTCAAAAAATAGGTGTTTGGGTAGAATGGGGTATAAAGTAGAATAAAAAAAAAGGAGAAAAGATATATTATGATTGAGAGAATAAATAATAAGATATTAATAAAAATACATTCACCATTATTTTTACAATTATTATTGTGTAATTTAATAAAAACTTTGATTTTGAATATTAAAAAAATATTACAAAATTGAATTTTTGATCACTTTTGGCCTTGAAAAATGCAGTCTTATTAGTTTTCTAAAGTTTATTTTTCATTTTGTATATCCAAAATAACATTTTGAATATTTATATGAACTTTTTGTATATTTTTCTGAACTTTTTGTAGAACCTAAATAACTTTTTGAAATCTTTTTATCAATTTTTTGTATTTAATAAATAACAATATTTTTATAAGCTTTTTGTAAATTGTTAATAGCTTTTGGAATACTTTGAACTCAAAACATATATATTTTTTCAATTTTCATGCTTATACTATTGAGGTAATATCTGACTTTTAGTAAGTTATTGCTCATAAAATACATTGTTAATTTAGGGGAGAGGGCGATTTGTCGACCATTAATAATAATAATTATAATCAAGCCTTCAGATTTTAAGAAAATAATCGTATGCCACCAAAAAATAAAATGGGTAATATATCCATAGCTCCAACATACTATTTCTAACCCTGAGATTTAAGAAATGATGTGATAAGGATGAATCTCTCATTCCTGATAAAGTGGTTAAAGTAAGATGGTCACTTGGAATACTATTAATAAACAAAATTTTGTTGTTTCTCATTGAACAAATTGAACAAGAAGAAATATTTTTGTATTCAATCCTTTTGAAAATGATATTAAGGACTCTTATTATTGTGGTCCTAGCTGGCTTTGTGACTAAAAACAAGAGATAATTTGGATCATACAGTAGAATCTGGACTCCTAGAATATTTAGAGATTTATTTAATAATTAAATCAATTTACTATCAATAACACTAACCCTCATAAATCCAAATTTATTAGCTATTTTTATTCAATAGTTTATGTTTCTTCAAATGATTACAGTTTTAAATTTAATCTAGTTATTTTTTCTAGGTAGAAATCATCAAATAAAAATTATAAGAATTATAAATCTAAATTTTATTTACTTATAATACCTAGTTCTTTAAGAAAATTCATTTGAAAATATTTTTATATTTTGCGAGTAAATCACACCACTATTTTACAGACATAAAATTTTTATAATAATCTTCTATACTACTTTGATAATTTTGATGTTTTAAATAATCTATATCATAAGGGAAACTACGTAAAATTGCTGATTGCTTTCATAGAATTCGAATCTTTAATAATTCAATTTGCTTGAAAAATTTCAAGTTTTGTAAGTTATTTCCAAAAATTCAAATAAAGTTAAACCTACTCCTATTTTTTTCAGAATTCCCTGTTACATATAATTAATCAAACTATTTATATAATCAATATAATTACGTTATTGAAAGCAAAACCGAATCAACCTGAAAAGCCATTTTCAATTCTATGTCTTCCTTAACATTGTACAATAAAATTATTGCGATTTCATTCTTAAAAAGATCTTCAAAACTATAACATGCATTTTAAATCCAGACAATACTCTTTTGATCTCTCTATGCACTTTAACTTAGGCCAATACAAATCGATCTCTAATAATTAATCCGATAAAGGTTTCATTACTTAACTATCATAAATTGGTGAGATACTACAATATTGTAATTAAATAAAATAAGTGAAGAAAGTATTTTTCCTTTTGATAAGAGTTTTTTATTAAAATTTCTCAAAAAAATAAATGATATATTTTTTTATTTATATTCGTATATTATTTCAGATTTCATTATGATTTCTTATCTGAATTTCTTTTGAACCTTAATCCGAAGTTATCAAATACTACCCATCATCACTCATACATCTAAATAAATTAATATGTCCAAATTCAATTACTTACTCAATTTACAACTCACCATTTTCCTTTCTCCTTATCAAATTCACATACTTGGCATTCCTATTTACAAGAAGACATTTTGATTTGATGTATTATTAAAAAAATAACAAGCTATCAGACAATTAATTAAATAATCCATAACTATTATAAATGGATATATATATATGAATATAACTTGAATGATGAAAATGATAAAAATACTTATAAATATATGGAGATAGATGTTTTTCAGCTGAATATTTTAGGCTCTAATTGATCTTAAAATATTGATAAAGTAATAAAAGTCATCTGTTTGTTATAAGTGTTATATAAAATTCAATCTTTTTGAAATTCTAATTTGCAATCTAAGCAGTTAAATTAAAGTGGATTTCCGCAATTCCTTTTTCAGATGAAATATGAAAATTCATGATTCATATTCCCAAAATCAGCCAGTTTAAATTCATTAACTATTTTTTTATAAAATTTTCAGGTTTAATATCTCATGTATTAGTTATAATTAATGTAACAATAATATAGATTAAGATATCTAATATATAATTATAAAGTAAAGATACCTAAATTAAAATCTCATGTTTTTATTTATTGTTAATTATTAATGCTCATTAAGAAATACCTATAAGTCTTTTTGTCCTTTTTCCATGATTAAAATATCCTAGTTGTTCCATTTAAATCTCTTGTAAATTCTAATTAAAACAAATGGCTAATAATTCTATTAACCTAAGTTCTATTGATTATTATATTAATTCTAATAATTTATAACCAAATCAATACATTTAATTTCATTAGAAGATATTGTTTCAAAATATTTAAGAGAAAAATCTTATTCAATAGTTCTCTCATACTTTTAAAGGTCATATTAAGATCTATATGCTGATTGCTGAAGACATCTTAAAAATAATAATTAAAATCTGATATAGACTTATAATGCCTATTTTACAGTTTTCGTTCGTCTGTTTGAAGAATTTGTAAATGAAAAATTTGGTAAATAGACTTAAATAGACTTAAATGTAAAAAAGAAAATCGTCATTGTCTAAAAATTTAGATTGTTTAATGTATTTATATATTAAATTACTAGCTTACGACAATAATATGATTCCATCTGAAGAAATGAATTGTAGATCTATTTCTATTGCTTACTGAATTGTAGAATCTTCAACCAAATTTTAAGGATTATTATACATCAAAATTACATTATGGGAATGCCTTAATATACCTGATTAAAGAGTTGTAGAATGTTTATTTTACTAAAGTAATTATATATAACTATAAGAGTTGTATCTTAATAACTCACTCAATGTCTTACAACATGTGAAAGTTTTGGATATGCATTAATATTGAATATAATTACTATAGATGCGAAAATAATTGGGAATGAGGGAACCCTTTTAAAGATAGATACAAATTTTTGCAAAATCAACCCTTTGTAATCTTTCCATTTATGAATATTACAGCCAAAATAAATAATGTATCAAATAAGATAAGATACATCTTAGTGTTTGCTTTATTGATGGATAAGAATGCAAATTTGATATCAACTATTGTAAATCAATAAAAATTATCATATAATTCTTCTTCAATTAATCTAATAAACCTGACGCAAAAAAATGTGAAATTTTCTTTAATCCGATTTTGTTAAGATATGACTAAAATTTCTGGTAACATCTGTTGTTGAAGCATGACTTTTTCTTTAGAAATGTCCTTTATGTAGCCAAATATCTAAGATAGAAAATTTGCTGATGTTTTATTCTAAATAAAATGTGTGGTTGTATCTATAATTCTTTACTAAGTGAGAAAATTCTTCTAGCCTTCTCCTTTCTCTTACTTTATATTTAAGAATATATGATATCTATCGAGTAAGAATTATTTGAAATGTAATTTGTTTCAATCCTCCAATCCGCGATAACGATTCTTACTAAGTATGATCCTATCAACTAAAATTTGAAAGTTTTTTAAATCATCAATAAAGTAATTTTCTGAAATTGAATCAATACTCTAGGCTCAATGAGTTTTGGATTGAACAACTTCTAACACTGAGGATATTTTATTATTTAAATAAAGCGTTTTTTGACTCATTCTGAGATAACTGTTTGTTTGTTCTATCTCTGAAGAACTATCAAGATTTTAGAAAATTCTTTTCTTTTTAAAAATAATTAGAAAGACTTAGTCAACTATTTTCTAATCAAATTTCAATCAACAGGTTATGAGAATAATTAAGAGAATGTCTCCAGTCTATTAAAACAGTTAGGCAAGTTATTTAGAACCAACATATTTTGGAAAAAGGTTTATTTAATGTTTAAACTGTGTTAAATACAGAACTATAATAATCATTTCATTAATCTTTTAACTTCAAAAATTAATTAATTTTTATAAGTAAAATCAAAAAGAAATTTTTTTTAATTTGGATTTTAATTATGCAGAAGAAATCCATCATGTTTAAAGAAAAATAATCATTTCTTAGAAATTGTATCATACATATAAAAGTTCTTTAAAATAAATAAAAATTAAATAATTAAATTAGTAGAGTTAAATAGAGAGCCATTTACAATAGCTTATAATCAATTAATACTCTCAAATTAATAAATCAATAAATTATTAAATAGACTTTGCAGTATGTTGAAACAATTCATCTCCTAGAATGAAGACAATAGAACTGCTATTTAAGGAATGTTAAGAATAATACTTTATTCTATATAGGATAAAGTAAAAAAATGGGTTTTAAATGTAGCAATGAATAATTCGATATCATTAAGAAAAAGGATTACTTAAATATGGATAATTTCAAGTTTTCTGATCGTGATTAAATCAATCAAGTTGAAATGATTACTGAATATCATAATATATATCCTATCATATTCCATCCTAATCAAAGAAGTAATTTCAATTAAATAAGCTCATTATCTTTATTTTAGAGAATGAAAGAAATTAATGATGATTTTTTGTCCTACAAAATTCCCTAATAATTTAAAAGCACTTTCTGATGTAAATCTATATTCCTAATGATCAATGATATACAAGCTTTAAATTAATTCTTATTTATTATGCTTTTAAAAACAATTATTACCCTCTGATTTAAAGATGTCATTCTCATATACTTTACAGTCGAATATCTTTGAATATCAACAAAATTTTTTAAAGGTAATAAAATTTTACGATCTTCTTTAAATGATCTCGTTAATCATTTTCCGCCAAATATCTTAGCTAATATTTATAATTAATCGTAAATTAATAACTATAAATTCAATTCTGATCTATTAGTCCAAGAAAGAATGTATATTCTATCAGTTTCTAAAATAATACTTGATTTTATATATCTAATAAGGCAGCATTTGTGATTATTCTTTCTGATAAAGAAAAGAAAGTTTAAGAGCAAAAATAATAATTTTGTCTAAAAATTATTTAAAAATTCATTTAAAAAGTTTACTGTTTTGATTTCTAGCTGAAAAGCAATGATTGCTTGATATATTATAATAAATGTGCCTTTAATAAAAAAATAATATAGGCATGAATTTCATTAAATTTGATTTAGGAAAATGAAATTTCAAAAGTTAATATTAACGTCTGTCTCCATTTAAGGATTATATAAATATGATAAAGAAAACAACAAATGCCTAAAAACTTAAAAAGCTATAAGATTTTAATTGTACATCTGTATTATCTAGATAAGATTTTTTAAAAGTAAAAATTAAAATTGTTCTTTTTATCAAGGTTATTGTTAGAAAATATTACCAATGGAAAGGTAATTTTTGTGAAAGAATTTTCATGAATTTAGATATTGATTGTCCTTTGAAATAAAAGGAAAAGTCTATAAAAGTCAATAGAAATGTATGTAAAGCAATTTCAAAATCAAATGTTCAATGTAAATATAATTCAAAAATCAATTTATGCATTCCAAATTCTAACAATCATTCAGATAATACACACTTCTTTAATAAAAAAGAGATAGAAATAAATAATAAATAATTTTAGAATTTATTTTATTGCTAATAATAAGGAATCATATTAAGGGCCAAATATAGGATGAGGATGCACTTAGGTAAATGTAATTTAATGTCTTACAACATGTGAAAGTTTTGGATATGCATTAATATTGAATATAATTACTATAGATGCGAAAATAATTGGGAATGAGGGAACCCTTTTAAAGATAGATACAAATTTTTGCAAAATCAACCCTTTGTAATCTTTCCATTTATGAATATTACAGCCAAAATAAATAATGTATCAAATAAGATAAGATACATCTTAGTGTTTGCTTTATTGATGGATAAGAATGCAAATTTGATATCAACTATTGTAAATCAATAAAAATTATCATATAATTCTTCTTCAATTAATCTAATAAACCTGACGCAAAAAAATGTGAAATTTTCTTTAATC